CCCAGGCAGCAAGAGTACGTCATAATCACGTCAATATAAGGTGATAACAGGTCATTAGACGTCATCAGACTAAATATCCACGACAAAATGACGTCAAGTTAATGACGTTTAAATGACATGTCTTCAATGGCGACATATAGTCGTCTTTTTTTGGTAACACTAAAAATAAAAAAAGAATAATTTCTACAGAGATCACTTCTAAAAAATTGTTACTACAAAAATTTTACGATGAAGATATGTTAATTAAGTTTAACTTTCAAATTTTATGTTTATGACTATGTGCGCGACGCATAAATTCTTTTCGAACACACGACGCACGCGCACTCTATACATCTCGTGTAATGGAAATGGCCGAAAGGGGAACCGACGAACCGTCAACCGGGCGGGAATGGGCGAACGGCAAACCGCCATTGTACATTACGTTTCGTTTATTTTCTGATTTTATAGTGATTTGTTAATTGCGTTTAACCCGACCTGTTTGTGAGCCAGAAATTCCATTCGATATTCTACGTGGTAAGTGAATATGATGTTTTTTCTGCTCTGTTTAAACGTTAAATAATGGATGCAAGCAGCAACATAACCTCGAAAGTTCTTTTCAGCGTTTTTATTATCAGTTTTTGCGTACCTTTTTACTGCTTTGAAATATTTTAATTTTTACTTAATTCTAAACATTATTGTTCTTACTGTTTTGCATCCCATTATTGCATGCTTAAGACTACGTTAGCTCCGTTTTTAGTTCTACCTTGCAATGGCGTTTGTTGGGGTCGAATTTACTGAAAATGGGACTGTTGGCTTAGTGCATTCTTCCTGGTTTACTCCTTTTAAACGCGAGGTTTTTTGGCCCCCGTATAAAACTTCCAACACTTTTAACCGAGCACTCACAAATGCTGAAGAGCCCGATCAAAGTAACTGGACATTGCATGCGGTGAAACGATCATTTTTTGAGTGTGGTATGTAATATTTTTGCATTAGTATTAAGCATGTTGTAGTATAACTCTAAAGCTATGGTTTCCTTAATAATGACGTCGTCTTTTAGTGGGTGAAAATACGATATTGCTTATTATAAACATTAACACACACTGTAACATTTTAAAGATTGGTTGTCTTAATCCAAGCAGTATGTGTTAATATTTGATTGAAAGCCACTGTAATTCCTCCCGATTAAGACGACTTAATATTTACAATTATGACTGACTGACGTGTAAATGTGAATTTATCTACAGATGACATCGATAAGGCTAGGAAAAAACTGAAGATTTGTGAAGTAACATCTGACATTCAGTCTGAACCAGAAGGGCTTTACCAAGATTGCAGTGGCAAAAGGAGCGCCAGAGTAAGAAAACCACGAGTTGTGTATTCATCGGACAGTGAAGGTGAAGAGGCTCGTCATAAATCTCTCCCAAAACCACCAGCTTTCCAGCAACTGAACTTACGCAAACCTGGTAAATATTGCATTAATTTTTGTAAGTTTTTGTAGCAAGTAGGCTGTAATTTTGAAATGATTGAATATAGTCAATAAAAGCAACTTCAATCATGTTTTAACACTTTTAAACAGATCCATCACAGTCTCGGTCATCAAATAATGGCATCGTTGTCCACAGTATAACTCCTGTTGTTGCCAGGACCGAACATAATCGGTTACCTACTCCAGTTAATGCAGAACATTTAAATGAAAATGCAAGTTTGAACCCAGGAAGTACGTTGCAAAGTTGTAATATGCCTATAATTAAATGTGTTTTTAAACTTGCAGATGTGGAAAAGATTTTCCAGGAAATCAAAAAATTGAGGGAGGAATTAAAAGAAATAAAAGCTTTTATTAAGCAGTCACGGAATGCTGATGTTGCTGCCTTACCAGATGACATTCCTGTGGAGTTTCCTTTGAATGCTGTTGCTCACATGCAACGGCTGGATGAATATTTATCAGCAGAGGATAAGCGTAATAGTTTGGTAGTGTACTTGCATTAGTTTTTAATATTGTAAAACATGTTTGTTTTTTAAGGCTTTGTACTTGTCTTCATTGGGTGGTTCTGGAACCATACCAAAGGTCAACAAAATTTTGAGATTTCTCATGACAAATAATTTAGCTACGCAATATAATTTTGTGGGGCAGAGGCGTAACAAGATTGCTTTTGGAAGTACACAACTGCAAAGTGTAATCATTCGTAAGAAGGCTAAACAATTATGATATATTTGTACTAATTATTTTTTCTTGTAGGTGCTGTACAGATCAAATCTCCTGCAACAACACAATCAGAAATAGAAAGCGCAGTAAAAATTTGGCTAAAACATTCCAAGCAAAGAATGGAAAAGAGGGGGGTATCTGGAAATCAGTGAGACTTTGATTATATTTTTTATAATTTTTTATTTATGTAGAATTTGTTTTTTATTTGTGGTATTTTAAAATGTCAAAACGAAAATTAAAAGAATTTGTTGGTCGTAGACAGCAATGCAGAAGGGCTTTGCAAGCTACTAAACAGGAACTTGATTATGTTTTACGTAATGATAACCTTGCCAATAATTGTGTTGAAATTGACCATGTAGAAAATTATAGTAACTTAGAAGTAAATTGTAATGTAACAAGAGGCAATTCATCTTCGTCAGACAATGACAATATTGATGAGCACAGTACAACTTTTTTACAGTGTACATCATCATCAGATTGTAGCAAAAGTGAAATATCAAATGACGATACAATTTTTAGACAATTAACTGAATGGGCCTTAAAACATAAAATTTCACATTTAGCTTTGACAGATCTACTTCATGTACTTTCTATGCACCACCCAGAACTACCTTTAGATAGTCGAACTTTGTTAGCAACTCCAACTTCAACATCTATTTGCCAGTTAGAAACAGGTCAATATTGTTATTTTGGAATAACACGTTCGTTGAGTAAACTGGTTTCATTTATTAAGCCATTTGATGACAAAATTGAACTTAGCTTTAATGTCGATGGTATACCACTTTTCAAAAGTTCTAAATTACAACTTTGGCCAATTTTGGGATTAATTAAAAATACAAATAGCAGTATAAGACCTTTTGTGATTTCAGTCTTTTGTGGAAAGAACAAACCAAAACCTATAGATACGTTTCTCAATCCTTTCATAGAAGAATTAAGTGCTTTGCTAAAACATGGGTTTTTTAATGACAATAAACACTTCCAAGTAAATGTGCATTGCTTTGTTTGTGATGCCCCTGCAAGAGCCTATTTAAAAGGCACAAAATCCCACACAGGATATTCTGCTTGTGATAAGTGTACAGTTCACGGTGAATATTTTAAAAACAAGGTAATTTTTGACAGTTTAATATCGCAAAAACGAACAGATCAATCTTTTCGTCAACAACTGGATGAAGACCATCACATTTCCTCCACTCCTTTGCTTAATTTACCAATAAATTTGATCAAAAATTTTCCTACGGACTACATGCATAATATTTGTTTAGGAATTGTTAGAAAAATGCTTAACACTTGGATTGGAGGTTCTTTAAGGGTTAGACTACCACACCAAAAAGTTACAACTATGTCTCAACGTTTACTTGACTTGAAAAGAAGAATACCGATTGAGTTTAACCGCAAACCTCGTTCATTGGAGGAGTTAAAGTATTGGAAAGCTACAGAATTTAGAACCTTTTTAATATACTTGGGTCCGTTGGTTTTAAAAGATGTAGTGAATAATGCTGTGTATCAAAACTTTCTATTAATTCATTTTTCAGTTTCAATATTATTATCTGAAATACATATAAGAAAATTTGGAATTGAGTTGGTAAGAAATGTTATCAATGTTTTCATTGATCACTCGAAAACATTATATGGTTTAGAGTTCATGGTGTATAATGTGCATTTATTATCACATATCTGTGACGATGTAGAATGGTTTGGTGTGTTAGATAATTTTTCGGCATTTCCCTTCGAAAATTACCTTGGGCAGCTCAAATCATTAGTGAGGACCTCTACAAATCCTTTACAGCAGATTCATCGTCGCCTTTGTGAACAGGATTTATTTATTTCCCGGTCTTCTAATCAAAATTGTGGCATAAAGTTAAGTTTAGAACATTCAAATGGACCATTGATTTCTGGTCAGAATTATAGATGGCATAAACAATTTACTAAACTTCATTTCCGTTGTATTACATTGTCACTTGTAAGCTATTGTAAAGCAGACAGTTATGTTTTAAATTTTTCAAGAGATAAAGTTATTGAAATTCATAACATACTAACAACCATTGACAACTCAACATATATTATTGGCAAGGAATTTCTCGATTATTCAGATTTGTATTTGTACCCATACCCTTCAAGCGAATTGAACATTTTTGAAGTTCAAAATTTGTCAGAATCTTTTAAACTATGGGCAATTACTGAATTAAGTAGCAAATGTATTGTTATACCATATAAGCAACATTTTGTAGCAATGCCTATTATTCATAGCCTGTTATAAATTAGAAAGAAATTGCATAGCAATTTTATTCTATCTAAAAATATTTGATATTTCAAATTAATGTAGCAACTAATGTTTGATATTACGTGTTCTACTTACATTCTCTAAAAATATTGTCTGCTTAATCATATAACTAAGATGGATTAAAATGTTATGCAACTTTTTTTATTTTTATCATATTAGTTTCTAACCACACATTTTTTTTTTATTTAAATTTGTATACCGCATATGTATATATAACGGTTCTTTAAATACTATTTATGTACTTATTTTATATGTAAGTTTTACGTATGTATTTTCTGTTTATAGTAAACATAAAATTGTATTGAAGCGTTTTATTTAAGTATCAGGTTTTGGGGTATGGCTGAATTTATGTTGATGGATAACGTCAAATTGACGTTTTTGTATGACGTCATTTGTCTGAGACATTAGGAAGTCATTTTCACGTCATTTTTTCGTCATGTAACTAGTGATATGTGGTCATCACATCACCATCGATAGACGTCATTTTCACGTACTTTTGCTGCCTGGTAATAATTACAGTATTAGTAACACAATGTAGGTAGGTAGATCCTTTTACAATGCTTGGACATTGTAGGCGTTTGACGAGTTTATTCAAGGTAGTAGGTACAAAGCCGGGAAGGTCAAAGTCAAATTTGTGTAAACGAAGATTAATTAATGTTTCTGTGTCACTCAACATTACACACAAATTTATTTTTGTAGATTGAAAGGTTAGATAGGACTGAAGCTGAATCGATAATTAGCAGTTCCCAGGTAATCCAACGAAAATCACTAAACTGAATAATAGGATGTTAATTTATTGAATAATGCTCCTCGTACCTACTTTAAATTTGTGGTCAGTGGCGCATTTCTGGATGGTAAAGGGAGACATCTAGTAGTTTTCATTACATATTAAGAGTACTTTTTTTTGATATAGCAGTATTAACGGTGTGTACTTTAAGAATAGTGGTTGCTACTTAAAATATGCTCCTCTTGACCACGCAGAAGCTCGCCACAGACCACATATTTCAACTATGTAGATTTTATGATTTTGGATACCATAAAAAATACTTTAAACAAAAATGTTGTTTTGAAGATGTAGCGTTTTATTACAAAATACAATAAAAGAACTATTAGCGATTTGAAAATATAACAGAATGTCAAATATTAATTATTTATTATCCTACCTAGACAATCACCTATATTGTCATGGTCGCCACAGTACTCCCCCCTCAGTGGCTACCTAATTGTTGTAGTCGCGGAAACGTACAAGCGGTTTAGTGTTTTTTCGTAGTCGAGTTGTTAAAAGAGGAGAATGATCTTCAGATGCAGTTTTTTCATTTTTTATCTCTGACATGTCTTCTGGTAGGAAAGCTGGTTTTAGACGATCAATGCCAACGTTGACACTTTTACCGTTAAATAGAATAATGTAAACTTTCTCACTGCGCTTGATTACTTCATGAGGTCCGGTGTAAGGTTGCTGAAGCGGCTTTCGTACTGCATCAACTCTTAAGAAGACATGTGTACATTTTTTTAGCTCTGGATGTACAAAAACTGCAGTTTTTCCATGTCGTGCTATTGGACATGAACGAATCTCACGCATTTGATCTCTAAGTCGATCGACGAAGGTTCCAGGATCCACGGAAGGATGTTCGCCATCAAAGAAAAATTCTCCTGGAATTCTGAGCCGAGTTCCATAAGTTAATTCTGCAGGCGAACATTGTAGATCTTCTTTGAAACTTGTTCTTAGTCCAAGGAGGATAGTTGGTAGTAGCTCAAACCAATTAGTGCTGTTATGACACATAATGGCGGCTTTCATGCTTCGATGCCAGTGTTCAATTAAACCATTCGATTGTGGACGGTAGGCAGTCGTGCGGCATCTCTTAATCCCAAGTAGATTCGTTAAGGACGTGGTAAGCGAAGCTTCAAATTGACGTCCTTGATCCGTCGTAATGCGTTGTGGACATCCATAACGAGACACCCAGGTGGAATAAAATGTTTTTGCTACTGTTCCGGCGGAGATGTCCACCATAGGAGTAGCCTCCGGCCACCTGGTGAAACGATCGGACATTGTGAGACAATATCTGTGCCCTTGGGAAGGTAGGAGTGGTCCTACGATGTCAATATGGACATGTGAAAATCTACTATCTGGAACAGTAAAAGAAGTTAGAGGGCTCACTGTGTGTCGTGATACTTTCGATTTTTGACATTGTATGCATGATCGCGCCCAGGACGTGATGTCTCGATTCATGAATGGCCAAACGAATTTCTTCTTTATCGCTCGACCGGTGTTTCGTCCACTAGGGTGTGAGAGATTATGAAACATATGGAAAACTTTTCGTCGTAGACTTTTAGGTACATAAGGACGGATTATGCCTGTAGAAACATCGCAGGCTATTGTTGTTGAACTGTTATCAAATGGACAAAGCTTTTTCATTTCTAACGATGTTTCGCTTCCATTCAACAGCCGTTGTAATTCTCCATCAATTTCTTGTTCAGCGGCGAGTGTTTCAGTGTCGATTACAGTAGGCGTGATTATTTCTTCGATTCTGGATAAAGCATCAGCAACGACATTACTTTCTCCAGGAATATGTATAATGGAGGTTGTAAACTGGCTTATAAAGTCAAGCTGTCTAAGCTGGCGAGGAGAGGATTTATCTGACTTTTGTTTAAAAGCGTAAATCAAAGGTTTGTGATCGCACTTTACTATAAAATCTCGCCCTTCCACCATAAAACGAAAAAATTTAATCGATTCGTAAATGGCCAGAAGCTCGCGATCATATGTACTGTACCGTTGCTGTGTTGGACTCAACTTCCTCGAGAAAAAACCTAACGGCGTCCATGAATCATTATTGCACTGTTCCAGGACTGCGCCGATGGAGGTATCTGAAGCGTCGGTTGTCAGCGCGAGTGTTGTACCTTCGATTGGATGTGCTAGAAGAGCACAGTTCGCCAGATCTTTCTTGCATCGTTCGGAAGACATTTCAGCTTTGGATGACCATATAATAGCCGTTTTGTCGTTTTTACAGCTGTTCTTCAGGTAATCGTTCAAAGGAGCCTGGATTTCAGCAGCATTCTTCATAAATCTCCGATAGAAATTTACCATGCCTAGGAAACGACGTAGGTCCTTGACGATGGTCGGTTTCGGAAATTTGAGGATTGCAGATACTTTGCCAGGGAGCGGCGAGCTACCATCAGCTGATATCAGGTGGCCTAAATATTCTACCTGATCAGCGCCTAAAACACATTTTGCAGGATTAACAATAATTTTGAATTCTTTAAGGCGCTGAAACACTTTTTCAAGGTGAAATAAATGCTCTTCAGGAGAAGAGGAACAAATTAAAATGTCATCAATATAACAAAAACAAAAATCAAAATCTGCTAACACTAAATTAATATGTCTTTGAAAAGTTTGAGCTGCGTTTCTTAAGCCGAAAGTCATTACATTAAACTCGAAAAGTCCAAAAGGTGTGATCACTGCAGTCTTTGGAATATCACACTCAGCCACGGGTATTTGATTATAAGCACGCACTAAATCTATTGTCGAAAAAATTGTTTTACCGTGAAGCTTATAAGAAAAGTCTTGCAAGTTTGGCACTGGGTACTTATCTGGAGTGGTAATGTTGTTTAATCGTCTGTAATCACCGCAAGGTCTCCAGTCTCCTGGTGTTTTCTTGGGTACCAGATGAAGTGGGCTAGCCCACGGGCTATTGGATGGTCGGCACCATCCTTGATCCATCATAAACTGGAATTCCGCCTTGGCAATTCTTAATTTTTCGGGCGAAAGTCGACGAGCTGGTTGCGATACAGGCGGTCCAGTTGTGATAATGTGGTGCACCGTGGAGCTCTTCACTTTAGTGTCTGGCGGTACGGGGCGAGTGATATCTGGAAATCGAGCCAAAACCTCATGATATTTTGAAGAAACTACGAGAGTTGTAATTGTTGGAGCATCGCAGTCTTCAATGCTAGCGACAGAGGTGAGTTGAGTTCTCGAGTCAATAAGTTTTCTGTTTCTTAAATCAACTAGCAAACTATAATAACTCAAAAGATCTGCGCCTATGATGGGTTGAGAGACGTTGGCTATAACGAAAGTCCATTTATACGATCGCCTTAATCCCAAGTCGAGGCAAATTAATTTTTCTCCATAAGTTGATATTGGTGAGGCATTGGCTGCGAAAAGCGACACTTTAGTGGGTATGCAAGTTGACTTACCCAAGAACTGCTTTGGAAGCACCGATATATCTGCTCCCGTGTCGACTAGATATCGAATTCCGGACTTTTTATCTGTTATGAAGAGGCGATGATGTTTTTCGCTACCCCCGAACACTGCCTCATGTGTCGGTGGGTTGTTTAGTTTTCCTTCGGCTTGAAATTACAGGGAGGCTTGCATTTTCTTGCCTTTTCACCGAAACTGGCATGGTAGTAACAAACTTCCTCTGCTGGGCGATGTCTAAAGTTACCGGAGTGTGTGCGTGAACGAGATTTAGATCGACCATAACGCTGTTGTGAACGTCCTCTATCAGTGGTGAGGGTTTTAACCATGTCAGTGAGCATCTCAATTTGTTTTTGCATTACTAATAATGCAGATGCAGATTCTGACATGTCCGTGCGTCTGGGAGACGCAGCACGGTTGACTGCAGAAATCGACCCAGAAGCGTATATTTCCACAAGTTTGTCTGCGACGTCGGCCATCTTATCCAACGTGACACCTTCGCTGGCAGAAAGAATGAGCTGGACATTTTGAGGCAAGCGCTGCACCCACAGGGTCTTCAGTACGTCTTCGTTAATGCGTTTATCTGCTAAGCTTCTCATCTGTCGCAGTAATTGGGAAGGTTTGTGATCACCTAATTCAATTTCATTAAGCAGCTTGCGCAACTGACGATCCTGCGAGTCAGAATACGCCGCAATGAGTTTCTTCTTTATGGTCTCGTATTTGTCTGTCGAGGGTGGATTAGCCACGACGTCGGAGACTTGTTGTAATACATTACAATCTAGTGCAGCTACCACTGTGAAAAATCTTGTGATGTCTGACCTGATTTTATACGTATGAAATTGAGCATCTACTTGTGCAAACCATAAGACGGGGTCCTTTTGTCAAAAAATTGGTAATTTAACCTTTCTAATCTCCTCTATCGTATCTGTTGTAGGTTCCGGTTGTTGTCGACTTTGCGCTAATTGTTCCTGCAGCCGCGCGATGAGCGTTTGTTGTTCCTGTAGTTGTTGTTCCATTTTTCAGATGTGTCCGCACGTAATAACTCACGTCTCAAGTCGGGGTCACCAAATTGTAGCGTTTTATTACAAAATACAATAAAAGAACT